ACCTCAACAGTCATGCTACCCTGCAGCCCCCACAACAGACTCCTGTCATGATCCACCCATAGCTTCAGCCAGCCTCGGATCACACATATGTGCCCAGTATACTACGGGAGGTCTCAGGACTTGAACCAGAAACCTTCCCATTTGGATACGCTCTGCAGACCATCACGTTTTACTGCTGGTCCGGCTCCTCTTTTTTATTTTGATGAACTTACATTGTCATTTAATTTTTCATAATTTTTGTCTACTCCCCTAAATGGGGAGAACAGGGGCTTTGTCTGATATAGTACCTTGATTACAAAAAAAGCTTAATAATTTATTAATCATAGGGTGCTTTATCCGAAATGTTTCGAGATGTGAATTTAAGCTTAGCCTGCTCTTAGTTCATAATGGTGATTAATCGCCAAATGACGTGTTTCATCTGCAAATTCACTGGTATCTCTGGTCTCACACCCCCAGATAGGAACAAGGGTACATCTTGGAAAGGGTCAATGTTTCAGGGGAGTTACTATCTGTAACCCTGAACCCTGGTCATTGTTCCAGAAGGTCAACCTTCTAAATTAGGCAGAACTCCAGCTAAATGTCTGGTGATTTCTTGGTCCCAGGGCTCAACAGAGACCAGAGGCCAAGGTGGGAAGAGATCTCTGACAGGGAACTACTGCTGAGTCTATATTCATTCGAATTAGGAAAGTCATGAGCTTCTAAAACAAGGAACAGCCAAAGATCCCAAAACAAATGCTTCAATGTTCATCCCTGAAAGACATCTAAGTCAAGCAAGGCAGAAACTCCTGAGATTGAATAATCTTTCCTTCTCATATTCTCCTGGTATCATCACCCAGCCCTGACCATAAGAAAGTGTTCCTTCTTTCTAAACCTGTGTACTTCTGCAGCAGTAAAGCCTGTTCACTCTGCTTGAATTCTCCAAACAAGGGAAAGATCTTGCAGACACCCTTAATTTGTTTTGGGCTACTTAAATCAGAAAGTTGTACATGGAGCTAAATCAAAATCATGAGCTTACCATCTAAAATTTATATGGTTTTACAGTTTAGAAAGCAATTTGAAGTACATTATCTCATTTGATTTGCTCCTTTCACCAGCCCTGTGAGAGAGACGCAATAAACATTTTAATCCTCAAATGACACACTATGTCTTTGAACTGGAAAGCACTTTACATAACTGAGCTACTACTGCCTCATATGCTAACAAGCCAGACGCATGTGATCTGCCCAAGGTCACATAGCTAAGGGGAAAGCCAGGGCTCACACTAAGAACTCTAGGGGTAACCGCAGTACTTCTCTGTCCAGTTTGGTCCTCACATCAGTTAACTTTGCACAGAGAAAACCTATGATGTTTCATGGGAGCCAGTCAACTCCTAATACATCTGGTCATCTCAAAATCATTTGCCATGGAGAACTAGGCAATGTAACGATGCCTTAGCAAAACATATTACCACACCTGTAAAAATAATTCGGTATTATTATCTGCTTGCAATATCAAACGACTTTTTAAAAATGAAGTATACCTGGGGGAGGGGGTGCCTTCAGAAAGTTCATGGAAATACATATTATAATTAAAAACTAGGCATAGATTGTGAAATATTTTTCACCCTTATAAATTCATACTTTAATTCTGTTTTCCACAATTTTTTAAAGTCTTTTCATTTATTAATAACAGTAAGTTGTCCACAGAAAAAACTGAAGGGACAGGAACAGCTACTCCTTAGTCCACCTTTTAGTAACAACCAATTAACACCAAAAGGTTAGTTACAAGGTATTCGACTTTGTGTTTTCTATGGACCCAGGTGTCACTCCCAACAGCGGGTACAGAGGAGTACAAGACTGCCAAGTAGAAACTCCTAAATCTCCAGTACTTTGAGCCATATTCTCTCTCCCACTACATGGTCCTCCATTATGTTGCTCATCTTCTAGAAAATACACATCACCTAGGAAACCTTTTCTAATCAACCTTATTTTGACTACATGTGAAATAAACACACAAATGCTGCAACACCCTGAAATGGGAGAACGCAGACTTGCTGATACCCTTATTCTCACACCTCCCGGACGTTTGCCACAGGTCAGGCCCAACACTGGGCGTACAGAAACACGCTAACCAGCAGGCCCTTAAAGTCTAGTGCTGCTTTCATGTGGTTTCTCAGGACTTTTATGTGTTTCTCAGTTTCAGATTGTATGCTATCTTTGAACAATAACTGTATGCTTCGATTTTCTAAAACACTTTTTTTCTAGATGTTTGCCATAAGGCACATGCACTGGTCAGAGATAGAGAGAGGGAAAGTGAGAAATCATACCACAGGGCACAATTCCTTCTCCTCCATTATCCTCTCAGGATTTGGGGTGCACATGCACACACATGTACCTGAAGTGATATTCAAGCCACCGGGTCCCAGACTTAAACTGTAATCGGCCATATGGGACTCCAAGACCTTAACTACCACACCACCTGCTGGCCCCCTAAAACACGTTTATAGCACCTTTACACTAGGCTTTCTACACAGCCAACTGAGAAACTAGAAGGAAACTCTTGGTTCCACAACCTGCAGCATGTCCTTTTGCTCAGTCCCCCCAGTACGGCATCAGACTGCAAATTCCTTAAAATTCCTAGTCTTGAGCCTGGAATATCAAAAGACCCAACAATAAGAGCCTACAGCTAGGGGGGTAAGCTCTAATGCAGGGAACTGGAGACATCCAGAAAGGGACCTGGGTCCCAAAACTGACTCTCGGAGGAGGCAGAGGTGCACAGGTGAGGAACGCCTTCATCCTCCAAAGCTGCATTCTCACACGGGACAAAATAGCGTGTTAAGCACAGAAGTCACAGGTACAAGCCCCAAGACTGCTCAGTGGAAGCGAACAAGAGAACACCCTGACTGCGGAAGAACGCCTTGCCCTGCTATCAGAGCATAAAACAGAATCCCGTACATTGTACAGGACCAGTAGACTAGCTAGTTAGACAGGCTGGAACAATGGAAAGGGCATGATTCGGCTCAGAAGACCTGTGTTTGAGTCCAGATGTTCTGCCACTAGTCAGACAAGAAGGCACTGGGGCAAGCCAGGTATCTTCTCTAAGCCTCAGTTTCCCCTTCTGTAAAACAAGAACAACCACCTCTGATCTGTGTACCTCACAGAAATACTGTGAGGCTTGGGACCAGCAGTTAGTGCAATGGCTATGTTGCTGGACTCCAATGTAGTCGACCATGGTTCGCATCCCGAACCCGGTGGCTTAAAACTCACGCCGGGCGCGTGTGCGTGCGTGCGTGCCCAAGATCCCAAGAGGAGAATGGAGGAGAATGGACTGCAGCGTGGCCATCGCCCCTGGCGGGGGTGATTTCTCGCTTTCAAAAAAAAAAAAAAAAGAAATACTGTGAGGCTTTGGTGAGATGTGGTCTATGAAAGCACTTAGAAACTCTGAGGCGCTATGCAAACCCCGATGTCTGAAGACACTCCGACTCCCAAAGCAGATGCCTCTCATCAGTCCAGGAACCATCAGTAGGCCTCCTCCTCCCTGTGTCCTCTAACACCTGGGTTTCCATCATCTCACATCCCCGACTCAGAGTTCACCACTGAAATCATAAAAAGGCAAGTGCACTGATCCCAGACTCCCAGAGAATGAAAAGGGAAGGTCAGCCATGCGAACCATTTCAACGCCTTGCCTTGCAGTGCCTCAGTTCTTCCTTTCCAAGGGTCCAACTGCAGAGAGGCGGACAGCAAGTGGGCAAGGGTGGGAACCAGCCAGTCCGCCTTCCTGCCTGTCTGCCTCCTCTCCTCCACTGCCAATCGGTTCCCAGTCTGGGGACTGCTGAACTAATCTAAGCGGGATTTGGAGGCAATACAGAGATTGGTGCTTGGGAGACAGAGATTATATGCCTTTTAGGCCACATTCCACAGCCAAAAGGAAATTATTTTAGCACGGATAACCAAAGGTTAACTGGACATGGAGAGAGCAACTGCTCCCTTGCAAACAGTCTTGCCTATCTGCAACAATATTTTTCCAGGCCCACGGCTTTTATTTGCCTGTTCAGTTCTCCAACCACTCACCCATCTATCCAGTCAGGCTGAGTGCAGCACCCACAACACATAAACCCCTCAAGGTCCTCAAGGAGGGAGGGTGGAGGAGGGGTGGCGGAGGGGCAAGCAGACACCTTGCAAAGTTGTGCCAATCCTTTGGAGGAAACAATTACAATCACTCACAGGGAAGGCTGGGCAGCCTCGTGGAGGAGGGCCAGGACTCCCAGGGCCAGTGGCTCTGCCCAGCAGGCCTACAAGCCCAAAACAACTCCTTCCGGCTCTCGGCAGGGGAAGGCCTATTTTGCCGAGTCAAGCTTATTTAGCATGGCTTGGGACTTTAAACCTAGAGCATCAGCGGCTAGGCAGCTCTCAATTGAAACTCTGAGCTTGAAGGGGAGGGAATTCTACTGTAACCTATGCATTTGGGGCCACATCAGCCACTGGTAAAAATCCAGACTTGTAAAGGGTGCAAAGGCTGTTTGTGTCCCATCACCGAGAACACCCTCCTCCTATGGGATCCACCCATCACCAAGCCCCACCATTCCGTAACAACCAGCCTGGCAGAAGCCCATGTCCCTGCCAAGGCCCTTCCCCCCCAGCAGCTCCGACACCTAAAGCCAGTCTCCATCCACGCCTGGGGGCTCACATGACTAAGCCTGTGCCTATCTCCCACCCTGGGGGGAGGTTGGCAAGCCGAGGACCCAAATTCAGCCTTAGGCCTGGCAAAAGTCAAAAATACTTCCCCCTCCTTCTCTCCTGGCTTACTGCTTGTATTAAAGAGACACTGAATCAGGAGGTATGTTTTGAACACAGACCCACACAGGGAACATGAACACACATGCCAGCAATCCCCAGAGACCAATGTTCCCATCCCACCAATTCCCACAATCCCCAAGACCCATTTTTTGCAACCTTTTATCAAAATGCAACACCCTCCCGCTCCTTTAGTTAAGTGTTGAAAAACCAAATTAGCACACCTACCTGTCTATACTCTGGGGTAACCTTACACTCATGGTTTCTCGGTGTCTCCACGGTTCCAGAATCCCGTAGCTTTGGTGTCTTGATGAAGATCGAATCGCTTGCAATTTTTAAGAAAGACGAGAGGAGGGCCTCCCAACTTGAAGAGTGGATCCCTTTTCCTGCACCTCTCAAGACCCTGGTAACTGAAGCTCCACTCCACTTCTACCAGTTAACATGGTCTCCTCTCTTAGCCCTTTTCCCCTCCCCCTCTTAAAAAAAAAAGACCAAAAATAAAAAGAGGAAAAACTGTGACCTTCTTAGAAACCAAAAATTCAACCACAAATCTCTTCAAGGTTAGCACTATGGTCTTAAAAAAAAAAAATCACAGAAAGAATGTGCCTTCAAAATATCAGTCTTAACTGCAAAATACAGATAAAAACCATCCTTTTAATCCAGTTTTCCCAGCTGTCCTTCTGTTGGCAAGAGAACCTCCAGCTCCAGAGGAGGAAAAAAAAAAAAATTCTGGTTCCCGATGCTTAAAATGACAACAGCAGATATATTTGAGAGAAGGAAAAAAAAAAAAAAAAAAAAGGATGAATAAATCCGATATGGCACTTAGAAAAAAAATCTTCCAGCTGATTTGCACAGTAAAAAAAATAATAATAAATAAAACCATACAATAGTATGTACACAACAGCACTCCTTCCAACTCCAGTGAAACCCTGGGAACCAACAATGTATGGATATTGTCTTTTAAAAAAATTAAAGATTTTGAAATTCTTAAATGCCAATTACACACACACACAAATCAAAGAACACCTGAAATGCAATGCTTTTTACCTTTAAAATGGAAGCACTAACCACACACAGAGAGAACCTCTGGAAATACCTCGCTTTTCCTTTTCGCTTTAAACTTGCGGGTTCCCCCACCTACCCCAGCCTGATCCTCAGACCCAGCCTACGTTCGGCCTTTTTCTCCAAGACAATTTCCTGAGTTAGTTCTGCTGTTTTGCTCCTCCACATCCAAGCTCCGAAAATCTCTCTCGCCTCAGCCTCCATGAAACGGAGATTTCGCTTCCTCCCGTCCCCGTTCTCTCTCTCCCTCTCTCTCTGTCCCTCTCTCGCCTGGCCAGAAAAACTGCTCCCTTATTATTACTCGCTCGGGGTATTACTGTGGATGGGGCGGGGGTCCCT